CTATTTTTCCCACAGACCTACACCCAGATTTGTCCTGAAAGTGTTTGAAGCTACATGACAGAGAGATGAGATAGTTACTCTAATTTGGGTATCTTGACGTTGACTGAAGTTGTCAGAATAAAGTCCAGAGTTTTCATGTGGAACCCACATGTTCATGCAGAAGCCTTTGTGAGTGCAGGTACACTGCAAGAATTGAAAACATCCATCCAGGTCAGGGCTGCGTAATTTCACAGGGCACTGGGGCTGCTATGTTTGTGAGGGAAGCTTGGTGTTTTCACACTTTCCTGGTTCTGACAGCAAATTGCCATTTGTATTAGTTTCCTATTGCCATTGCAACAAATCACTGCAAACTCGGAAATTTAAAGCAACAGAAATTTAGTCTCTCACAGTCCCAGAAATTTCAAGGCTGAAATCCAGGTTGAAGGAGCCAAGCCCTCCTGATCCCTCCAGGGGAGGAAGAGTCCTTCCCTGCCTCCTCCAGCCCCTGGTAACTCAGGACACCACACTTCCATGTCAGCCACTGTCATCCCCTGATGACCTCTCCCTTATGCCTGCTCCTGCATTTTTCCCCTGGAGTTTTCCTCTTCCCTCAAGGACACCAGTGATAATCGGCTGAGGTCCACACTAATGACAGCAACTTACATCTGCAAAGATCAAACCTTAAATATGGCCACATTCTTTGGTACCAGTGGCCAAGGCTTTAGCATATCTTTTGGGGGCAGTGTGGTAGGTACAATCCAGTCCAGGACAGCAACCCCATCCCATTGTCTCCTTTTTTATCAGGAAGCTTGTTAAGTTTCCATAACATGAGGATAGCTGTAAACTGTTCAGAGGAAGAGTGACTTAGCCTGGGGCACTTGGGGGCAGTCATTGAGATGGATGGTTTCTCAGGCTCAGACCAACTCTAGCTTCTGGCTTTAGTTTGGATATTGACTCTTCCTCTAACGCTGCACATAGACTTATTGACAGAGCAACTCTGGAGTCCTACACAGGGTCCCACTGGAGCAGGCAGTCTGCTTGTTGTCTGCTGCTGGTCATTGAGAAGAGTCCCCGTTCCTGTGGGAGAAACACTGTTTCATTCACCTAACAATTACAAATTCCTACCATGTGCCAGGCAGTGCTGTAGATGGAAAGATGCGTGGTGGACAAGAAAGAAAATCCTTATTCCTGTGGAGGATGCATGACAGTGGGAGAGACTGAGAATGCCTAAGAAAACAGGCAGATTGCATCATTTCAGGTGAGAATAAGCACAATAGAAAACAAGGCAGAGTGTGGAGAAAAGGAATCTGTCTCTACTGTGGGTGGGAGTGTAGACTGGCACAACTGCTGTGGGATCAGTGTGGGGATTCCTCAGAAAACTAAGAATAGAGGTCTCATTTCACCCAGCTGTTCTTCTTTTGGGGGTCTTCCTGGACGAATTAAAAACATCACACCACAGCAACAGGTGCGCACCCATGTTCACAGCAGCACACTTTGTAGTCGCCAAATCTTGGAACAGCCCAAATGCCCATCAACCAAGGAATAGCACAAAAGATGTGGCATTTTTATACAATAGAGTGCTACTGAGCAAAAAAGACGGATACACTTGAGGCATTTATAGGGAAATGGATGCAACTGGAGAGCAACTCATAAGTGAGATAAATCAGATTCACATGTGTAAACATCATGTTGTCTCCTAGTGTGAGAAGCTGAGAGAATAAATAAGATCCAAAATGCACATCAGATATTATAAAAGGGAAAGAAACTGCCCCAAAGGAAAGAGAAACTAGGATGGGTAAGGACTTCTGCCTGGAACCAGGGTTAGGGTTAGAATGGGGGAGAGAAAATTGGGGAGGAGGAAAGTGGACTTATAAGGCACTTGGATTGTCCCAGGATTGCAGATGGAACTCAGGGAGTGGAAAGCAGACTGTCACCTCTGGTGTGTGTGTGTGTGTGTGTGTGTGTGTGTGTGTGTGTGTGTTTAGCAAGTTTGGAAAGAAGGAAAGGTCAAAGTTCCTATTTGGCTGCAGCACAGTCTTCTCTGAGGATGGCTAAGGAAGTCTTCAAAAATAGCTTTATTGAGATACCATTCACACACCACACGATTTATCAAATTGAAGCACACAGTCCAGTGGCTTTTAGTCTGCTGTGGCTGTCAGTAAGATTTCTACACCCACCACCATCTATGCAAACCTCAGGCCTATCACCATGATCAACTTCAGAGCATTTTCATCACCCTCAAAGTAAACCCCTCATCCCTGGCTGTTTCCTCTAATCCCCGCCCCTCCTCTGACTCCACCATAGCTAGGCAACCAGTAATTGAGCTTAGGGTTCAAAGGAGAGGCTGGGGCTGGAAGTACACATTTGATGTTCTTTCATAGTAGATGTGGTTAAAGGTGATGACTGTGAATAGAAGACTGAGGAGTGAGGTGTTTGGGGGTCTAGAAAAAGAGGGAGAAGGGTGATCAAAGGAAGCTCCTGGCTCCTAGAGAAACCATGGAGGATGGTCATACTGCCGAGGAAGGTGGCCTTGGGACATGACACTGGACAAGCGGGTTCTTCTTGTTGTCTCCACTTGCAACACCTGCTATAAAGCATGCAAGAAACCCTGTGGTCCTTCACTGCCACTAGAACTTTATGAGTCTATTCTATGATGGTTTCCCTACCAGGGCTACCCAGAAAATCCTCACTCAAAAGATGCATTTATAGGAGGAGACCAAATTGCTCATTACCTAGGAAAGATTTATGACCTTGTGGAGATTAACTCTTGTTGCTATTAATGGATGTGGTGCTGATAGCAATGACAGAACATAGGTCTCACTTTATTTTTTAATGGAAAGAGCTAAAAGCCCCATCCCCCTTCCCCAGACTGGCTAATTCCACAGAGAATGGAAGACATAGAACCCTCACAGTCTGCCCCAGGCCACCTCTCCTCTATGCAGGAGGATGAGTATGACTTTTACGAATTCTGGGATTTCTGAGATTACAAAGGGGGGCTTAGTTCAAAGCTACTAAGGCAAGGTAAGGGCAGAGGAGACATGGTTGTCACTTTGCAACACAGGGTGTGGTGTCCTTGTCCACAAGGCCCAGGGAGTCTTGGGAAATCCTTTCCTGCAGTGTGTGATTGTGAGCTGTAAAGGCAGCATGCTCCAGGGTGAAGGACTGCCCTGACTCTGATGAAAACACACCATGAAAGCAGGGATCCCTGGGAATCACTGAGCTTTGACATCCATATATATCCTAGGCTTCCAGTTCAGCTTCTGGATTGCACAGTGCACTGTGTGTGTGTGTGTGTGTGTGTGTGTGTGTGTGTGTGTGTCTTTCTGTTTGCCTGTGTGTCTGGGAGTGTGTTCTGGTGACTGCACCCAAGTCCTCACACATACAAGTGCTTTACCATTGAGCTACATCCTGAATCTTTGTTAAAATTTTATTTGCTGACAGGGTTCTGGTAAATTGTCCATGCTGGCCCTAGACTTCAATTCTTCTGGCTCAGCCTCCAGAGGTAGTGAGAACTACCATGCCCTTCCCTGGCACACTTGAGAGTTGGAATTTATCTGCTTGTTAACAATCTTTTCAATCCCCTAAGAGACCAGGATGTACAAGGCCAAACGGGACAGTGGCCTGCATATAGAATTACCAAGAAAATAGGGCAGAGATCAAAAGAGCATGTAGGTGAAACCTTCTCTTAATATAACAGTGTCCTGCTAATTTATTGACACTCAGTGGGATCAAAGTTGTCTAGGGTTCACAGCCATGGGAAGGAGAAGTGTTGCAAAAATGTGACAAAAAGGCTCTTGAAACTCTTGGAGTTGGACTCCCCAAGGAAAGAGGGCTGTGGGGTTTTCTTTTCCTTTCTGGGATCCAGGTTTACTGTTGAGGTGCTGGGAAGTGCGGGGGCAGTGGGCAGCCCTCAGAGGTTTAAATTCTGTAGAGCTCATGTGGTACAAATCTCAAGTTCTGTTGTTTCTGATTTTCAGGACTCTGTATTCCAGTTATAATGAATATTCCTGGATGGAGGCGCTGTAGAGATCTCCAACCCAGGGGAGGGCACCGCAGGGAGGCCTGGTGAGAAGGGTGCCCTACCTTCCTACAAGTCCAGCTTTTACCTCCCAAAATAGTATGGGGGGGGACCTCTGGAGGGATCACAGGAGAGACCAGGTGACTGCTAAAGCAGAGTGTGTTTTCAAAAGAAAACCAAGGAAAAAAAATAGTTGAGAATTTCCCCTGCGAGGCAGCATTTGCCCTGCAGAAGGAGGTTTGCAAACAGCCTCCCCAAATCTCAGCTGTGGTTGCTCCAGCAGCACAGGGACCCTTTTTACTGCTCCTTCCACCTCAGTGCCCTCTTCCTGCACCCCAAAATCTGCACCCAGTTCTAGGGGCGCCCAGCCTTGCGCTGCTAGAAACCAGCTTTCAGGCTCCAGAGGGTCCAAACCTGCAGCAGGGCAGACTATCAGCCCCGCGTCCCAGAACTTGGAGGGTCTCAGGCAGGGGGCAAACTGCTCCCAAGCCAGACCAGGACCCCAACCTGCTGAGAGGCACACGGACATCTGGCGGGCTCCACCGAGCCTGAGAGGGCACAACGGGGAGCGGGGACCAGAGAAAGAGACCCATGCTCTCTCCAGTCCCCGCAGACTCCCAAGGCAACTCTCCAGTATCCTTGCTCTAGCCAGCTTCTGTCCCAAGGACTGGGAGAATAATTTTGTTCGGTGTGATTGGAGTAGCTGAGACTATGGGGAGATTTTCTGGAGCTATAACAGAAGGTTGTGGGGCGCATGGGGGTGAGGGAAGAGCATGGACAGCAGACCTAATTGCCTCATGTCCCTGCTCTGCTTTGTCTCAGGAGCCCAGTTTTGGGGACTCCAGGAACACCTCCTTTGGCTTCCACAGGCTCCCTTTCCCCAAGTCCCCTGGAGCTCCAGCCAGCTGTAGCGGCTTTCTATAAGGCACTACTTGGAGATGCTGGGAGAACCTGGTGAGCTGAGGTGGGGTAGAAATAGGCAAAAAAAGTAGGTGCTTCAGGGTTGCTGGAACTCTCATTCCAAGCCTGAAGCCTGTCCTCTGAACAGGTGGACCACTCACTTTGAATCCCAGGATTCATGCATGGTCCTTCTCCAGAGGTGCAGCCTCTTTCCTGGCCAGTAAGCAAGTTCATCCAGAAAGGGGCTGTTATGGTTTGATAACTAGTGGTCAACTTAACACCAGCTGGATTCCATCAGCATGCATTGAGAGAAGATGCTCCACCTGAGAAGGGTTGCCAGGATAAATAGGTGGAGAAGAAGAGAGGTGTTGAGAGGGATTGAGGCGTTATGGAGACATTGTTGGTTCTCCTACGAGTTGCTGTCTGAGCTGTTGGTTCTCCTGGAGAAGCTTTGGTCTTCACATCGAGCATTGCTTCCTGGCTCCGGAGGGGAAGACATGTGCTGCCTGGTCTCCAGGATGAACTCGTCATGCTGCTTCCTGGCACATACCCGACTGTGCTTGTCGTCGGAGGAGCTCGGGGCCTCCGTGTCGCTGAGGACAGCTGTGGTGCCTTTCAGGACAGCCCCGCTCTTTGTTGTGAGTGTGACTTCTCAACTCCAGTGTAGAACCCTCATCCCACTAGCACAGTTCCTTCAATCTGCTGGCATAGACTTTCTGGCTTCCACCGCTGACCCTGGGGTCTTCCCGGCACGAATCTGTAAAAGAGACTGGCGTAAGTCCTTCTTGTGGGCTCTGGACTTCCAGTTGGACTCGTGGAGGCACTGTTCTGAGCTCTGGGTTTTTATCTGGACTCATTTGGGACATTGCCATGGGGTTTAGACTCTTGACTAAATAATCTATGTCGGTGGTGTTGCGGATGGATTTCCTGCATTCTCCTGTGTTAACTTCCAGTGACCATTATAAAAATATTATAAACTCCATGTCCTGATCTGAATTGTTCTCTGTGTACAACACCAGACTACAACAGGGGCCCAGGATGGGGCACTGGCTCTTGGTTGGCTCAAAAGTTCTGTCTGCCCTAGCCCCAGGCGCCCCTCTTGGCAGTAGGATCCAGGGATCCCAGGCCACTAGAAGCTTCCAGCTGGGACTGAGCTTTCCTTTTTGCTTAATCTGGAGCATTACAGAGACATTTCTCCAAGGACAGAAGCCCTCTCCAGCTTTCCTTCTATCCAGCAGAGTTGCCCAGGTTGCAGCTGCCCTGAGACTCAGGTTGTCCTGGAGTAGCTGTTTTGGGGATGGGTGGATTAATCTTTCACACGCTAGAGTGATTGGCAGGGATGCTTCCCAGGAGGAGGAAGAGGACAGGTCAGGCTGGGGCAGAGTTGAGCCCCAGAGCAAGGAGAGCCAGGGAGGATCTGCAGACTGGAAATAGCTAGATGGTGTTACTGTGCAGCCTCAAGTGCCTATCAAGGTCCAACGTGTCCAGGACTATTGTGATCATTACTGCTTTGAGAAGTTGACCCCCACTCAAGTCCCCTCATCCAGGAGTGCACTGACTGTCTCTCTAGGGGGCATTGCTGTGGACATCCTTAAGCATGCCATTGGCTTCCCCATCCTATGGCCAAGACCTTTCAATCTTGTAAGACATTGGTGGTAGGGGAAGGTTCATTCTTGTATTTACTTCTTCATTCCACAAAGAGCTAAGTATCTTGCTAGTTACCCAATATCATATAAAGAGGAAATGGCTTGGTCCCCAACTACTGGGACCTTAGGGTTTAGTTGAGAATCCAGGTAGCAGCCAGGAAGCACATTCATTATACAGCTGGATGGGGTGAGGTGGGATTTTAACAAGTTTGTGTGAAGGAAATAGAGAGTGGGAAGGGGTGAATTAATTCTGGGGGGAGGTGGAGAGGGTCAGGGAAAGTGACATTCCAGAGTTGTGTCTTGCTGGGGCTTTCAGAGGGGTAAAATGGGAAGCACTTTGTACAGGCAAGGACTCAGCGAAGCAGAGATACTTGGGGTGGCCTGACCCATTCACTGGTTGTAATTGTTGCCTAGGGAAGTTAGCTTTTCAGTGCTGCAGAGTCCCTTGCCATTTGAACAGCAGAGATCACATATTTGCTATACAAAAATTATCAGGAAACTCAAGGAGACAATGAGGAAATAACTTTGCTTTTTTACACTCACTTTTTTTTTTAATATGCAGGTAGCATTCTGGGGACAGCCTCTTTGATTTTGCTGGAAACCCACATTCCCACATCCAGCCACTTCTGTAGGGAGTGAAGGCTGGCTGGTGATGAGTTTATCCCAAACAGCTGCTTGGAAAGTTTATTTTTCAAGTGAGACAATTGTTGTGAGGGATGTTAACAGTCCTAGATGAAATGAACATGTGGCTCATTTAGCGAGCTGCTGGGATATCACTGCCTTTTAATGGAAATGAGTGGATGGCATCAGGCACCTTGTAATTAAGGGAAGCTGCAGTACGGCAGCAGTTACCTATGAGAGCATCTAGTGACAGGTGTCCTAAGGAGGCTGCGGACAGTGTTCTTATTCTAAAAGCTTCTGCTAGACAACAGAGTGGAGTAAAGATAGGAGACGCTGTTTTTTAGTTTTTGTTCTTGTTTCTGGGTTAAAAAATCTGAGACTTCCAGGTACATCACTGATAATGAAACCTTGGAGACTACAGTAATAGCAGTGTCCATGAGTTTGGAAGTGTAAGTTTTGTGAACTCAAGGATTATTCTCCCCTTGCTTTCCTGTTTGCTTTGTCATCAGGGTAGGGAGTGGAGGGAGTACTGTTCCTGAAACGTCAGTGTCCCAGGTGCCCAGGGGCATGCCTTTTGCTGCCACCTTTTGGACTGGAGAGATTTTTTTTTCTTTTGGAAGCCACTCCCAGGTGGTTTATTAATTATGGACTGAATAATCGAGCTGTGAAAATGAGCCTCCGGCCTCCAGGGATGTAAAATATCGGCTCACTTGAAACAAACAGAGAGCAGCTTCTTCAAGGAAATTGCTTCCGGGGATGTTCAGAACTGATCAAGTGGTTGTGAAATCCTGCTGTTAAATGAGGTCTCACAGCATCTTTCTGGCGTCATTTTATTCCCCATGGACCAGGAAAACAGCTGTCACCAGGGGCCATAAAATGGATTAGATCTGAATTGAGCCAGAAGCAAGAGGGGTTGCTTGGGGGCCTACGTCCTGGACATCAAAAGTAGGTGAGTGGACTTTGGGATCGAACACCACCAGAGCAGGGCTGAGAGTGGCCAGTGGCAGCAGGTGTCCCGGTTAGGATCAAGACTCTGAGTCCCAAGGCAGTGCCCTGTGACACTGACATGCTGCCTTCCATATTTTAAAAATATCTCCTCCCAGGAGCTTTTTATCCTGCCTCATTCTAATTCCCAGCTTCAGCCATTTGTGGCGATTTATGTCAAAAGAAGAAAACGTTATAATAGAGTTTCCCAGGAAAGGGCAGGAGCTCCGTGCCTGGAAAAGAAACAGAAACACTAAAATAAAAATATTCCTGGAACTCACACTCTCGTGCTCCGTAAGGTTCAGGAGGGGCCGTGTAAATACTGCCTTATTAATAGGTTTCCGGATTCCCTAGGTGCTGTGCAGAGTGCTACCCTTTATACATCCTGCTGCTGGCTCTGGGCATTTTCATCCTGAAGGCCACCAATTAAAGGCGGAGAAGAAAATTGTACCCAGAAGCCTAATTGATTTATTTTGCATTGTTTTGTGCTTATGTTTTCATAAAAAGAACACAACAGTTGTTGGGAGGGGGCGACCACCTGAATGTTCCCCATTATTCTAAGAGTTGAGGACCAGGACTAGCGGGTGGAGTGGAATAGGAAGATGCACCTTTAAAAAAAGGCAGGTGAGGTAGTCCAAAGTTGGACAGGAATTCTGCACAAATCTAAGCTGTGGGGAGTGTTTCCTGAGTCACTGCAGAGACCACGGGAGTCCGAGAGGGTTATTACCACCCCACTTTCACAGATAAGACAAAGGCTTGGAGAAATAATTTTTCCAAGAAGTGATCTAATCTGTAGAGGGAAGAGATGGGGCTGCATGGGTTTTTAATTTAGCATTTTTTTGCAGCACTTTCTTGGTTGAGGGTACTGTGTGCTCACCTTAGGAGAGGGACTCAAGATACTGTTGGGACATGATGGTTGGTTCTGCAGAGTCTAAGTGCATTCTAGGCTGGTGCAATCCCAGGCTTCCTGGTCTGGGAGATTTGGTATCTTGGGGATGACCTTGCATCAGTTACTACTGCAGTACTGTCACATAGCATGGACTTAAAATAACAGTCATTTATTTTGATTCACATATCTGTAGATTGGTTTTACCTGAGCCAGGCTTGGTGAAACTTAGTTCCAGGTTTAAGTGTGGGCCTGCACCCCGTGTCTTAGTCTTCCTGGAGCAGTGGGCCTGCAGGTCCGTGTTCTTCTCATGGCGATGCAGAGGTACAAGGAAGTCAGGTCCCTCTGCGCAAGCACATGGAAGCCTATACTTGTGTAATGTTACTAAAATCCCGATAACCAATGCTAGTTACACTGCTGAGCTCAGTCAGGGGGTGGGGAGGCTTCCTGTCACTCTAGTGGGAGTAATTCCCAGCCACATGTCACAGAGTGTGAGTGTGGAGAAATGAAGGACTGAGGCCAATAATTCAGCCAACCGTAGTCTCCTCACAAGGTTGCCTTGGCCTGGATGCCATCCCGTCCTCTCATGGTGTCCCCAGATATGCACATTGCTCTGATGTCTGTTCTCCCAGAGCAGTGACCATGAACCCACTCATCAGACAATTATTCAGGTTCTAAATTAAAAGCCTATAAGGTGTCAGGACCTGTGCAAGGCACTGGGGCCAGAGGGATACCTCCTCCCTTTTGTGTCTGGTGAAGGGCACATTCACCAGGCCACTCTCAAGATTCCTGGACAGAGAAGGACCAGCTTGGAAGTCCTTTGAGATCACCCTTGATTTAATTTCTGCCATATAGGAGTAGAACACCAAAGGTCTAATTGAAATTAGTTCCATGCTTGTCTTTCCAAGATGATCACAGAACTACTAGCATCTGAGCTTACTTAGAGAAAAGCAGTGTGGGTCTGGGTGCCGGACTTGGGACGATAGGAAACTGGCTGGTTGACATCTGCTTTGCACAGAGCAGCTGCTTCTGAACTGGGTCTGTGTGTAGGATGAACAGGAGTAAGCAGGTGGAAACTAGTCAGAGCATTACTGGTCCCCTTCTTCCTTTACCTGTAAGCCTTGAATGCCTCCAGTGATACAGCGGTCAGGTTCCTTGTTGCAGGCTGTGTGAGAGCATCCTCAGTGCCCTGCCATCCATATATTCATAGTCCTCCCTTGGTGACACCCGTTAAAAACTTATTACATAGATGACTGCAGAGTCCGTGGAAGTAGCAGTTGTCTTGGGGTGAACTGGCCCCATAACTGGCTGTATTCCACAGGAGAGAATTCAGATGTTCAGTTTAGGAGACAAGGGAAAGCCAGGCAAAAACAACAAAGGCAGTGATGTGCACTATACCTTCCATTTAACCTTTTTGTGTCCTGGCAGTGACAGGTTTCAGCTTCGAAGAGCCCTTCCTGAGTAGCCTTCTAGGGACAGAAACCTCACTGTGCAGCAGTCACTGTTTCCTAGCAGGAAAAGAGGAAGCGGGCAGAGGGGGTAGACTTCCCTCCCCTCCTGTGTAGGGCCAGGTGAATGTGGGAGCACAGGTGAGGCTGTGACAGCTCATGATGTCCTGATGAATATTGTCCCAGGCGCTTTGGGATAAATTGGGTGCGAGCTCTCATAATGCAGTCTCGGTGTCTGTATTACCATCAGTTGAAAGTTGACCGCTGTTGCTGATTAAAACATTTCCAAATGTGCAATCAGAACTTCACTATTGAGATGCTAAGTGTAGATAGATGCAGCTGTATGAATGGCTGAGACAGCTCCTCAGAGTGATGTGCAGCCTTCTTAGCATATATAATTGGAAATCACTTTGCTGTCATGCATGGATCATTCTGCAAAACACGGATTAGGTAAGAGACACCTCTGGTATTTTCCATTCTCAGACCAGGAAGTGGGAGATCAGGCCCGTATTCCTTTTTATTGAAGTTCTCCAACCAAAGTCAGGAATCTCCTTGGGTAGAAATACACATCTGAGCTTCTACTTTCTGGCCAGCCCCTGCCCTGTTCTTTTCTAGTAGGACCCGGGTCTCTCTCCACTTTTTTCTCTTTATGGGAGTTGGTTGTACGTGAGTAATAGATGTGTCTGTATAGGACTTTACTGTGGTGGTGACGTTAGATTTTTGCCTTTGCAGCTGTCTCTGAGGCAGGTGGATGACAGCTGTAAACACCTATCTGCAGTTCCCAAATCAGAAAAATCTTAGCACCATAAGATTTCTTGAGCCTTGAACTCAGTTGGTGGAAAACCTGACCTCAATGGATATTAGGCTGTTTATATCCTTTATGAAAATTAGAGAAAAGCACCATACTCTTTAGTCCAGAAGTATTGCAGACTCTGATAGTGGGATGCTGATTCAGACTTTGCGGAGAGTATTGTCTCAGATATGGCATATAATGCATTCTGAGTTCTAAAAAATGTTTGGCTCTGAGGATTTGGGGGGATTATCTGTGTAATGCAGAGTGGGACTGGGAAAAGGTACAGAGAAACTGTGCTATCAGAGGGGCAGTGGGAAGAGTTGTTTTCTCTTATTCTCCAAGGACTCTGCAACACTCTCCGTTGGCTTCCTTGTGTTCCCCACCACGCCCTGCCTCATGGTCTCTGTTCTGTGTTGCTGCTAGCCTCCTGCCTATTATGCCAAAACAGCTCTTTGTTGCTTTCCAGTGGTTGGCTCTGGGCTGGACCCTGACCTTCAGATGGACATTATCAGCGAACTTGACCTCGTAAACACCACCCGTGGAGTCACTCAGGTGTCTGGACAGCACAATGGCAGCAAAGCGTTTTTATTTCAAGGTAAAAGGACTTCTTCCTTTGCATGGGACAGAGCCTGGGGGGAGTGCTGGTCTGGGGAGTGTCCACTGGTGGGCCTTTCTCTGGTGGTCACCTTTGCTAGTTGTCTTGGATCCTGGTCCAGAAGCCTATTGAGATGAGGTACAGCAGGGTTCTGAGAGTGGGAAGAGGCGTCAGGGGGCCGTGGTGGAGAAATGTTTGGTTTGGTCATAAAATGGCTCCCTGGGGATTTGGGTGGAGAGTTAACAAAAGGGTAACTAATTTGGGAGAAGTTTGGAAACTATTGGCACACTGTGTCATTTTTGCAGGGGATCTCTTCAGCCACTATCTGTCCCTTTATCTGTGTGTACAGCTTTATCCCTCATCTCCCTGGTAGATAATGAACACAGTAGATACTATGCTGTCTCCTGTTAGAAGTGCATCTTTTCTTCCCCTTGCACTTTCACAATATCTGGTGTACAACTGGGATGAGGGAAAGGAGAAAACAAAAAAGGAAAAGATTATATATATATATGATAGATAAGTATACTACTAATAATGAAAGGGAAAGAAAGGGCTCAAAAGGAAAGAGCAACTGGGATAGGGAAAAGAAGAAAAGGAAGAAAGGAAAAGATATGTCTGTAGGGATACATATATAAATATATGTGTACGTATATATGCAAGTTAGATAACTGTACTACTGATCCCTGTTCATCAAACAGAACAGTTTGTGCTGTCATTGTTTGATTGTTTGATCATTTTTATGCCTACATCTTGCAAACTCAACAACTACTTCTAAGATAACAATATCAATGTATTAATTAGTGTTAATTTCCCACTATTTCTTGAAATTCTATGTCATTTCTACCCTTTTTTCTGTTTTTCTTTTTTTTTAAAAAAAGAACATTTGTGTTTTCATTGTTTGAAAACAATATGCAATATATTAACCATTGTTAATTCCCTGTTACATTGTCTTGAAATCCTGTCACATTGTAAGTGAGCTTATCCAGCCCAGCCCATTATAAAGTTGATTACAATTCATGAAATCACTCAGTGAGCATTTATAAAGACAGCGTTCTGTGGTTCTTAAAAGGATGGGCTCTGCTTGGGATCCACATTGGCCCTAATTGCTTTGAGACTTGGATGATTCCTTAGTTTTTTTTGTTCTCATGTAAAATAATAGATCCTTGGTGAAGCTACCTCATATGGTGGCTATGGGGATTCAGAGGCAGCCTATGAATGCAGCCATACCAATGCCTGGTAAACATTAGGTTCCCCTTTGCAGTTCCTGTCCTGTATTAGATAGCATGCTAACAGTAGGGTTACCAGTAAGAGTAAATAAGAGGCAGCCCCTGCTCTAAAATGTAATGAAGGAAAAAGTCATTCCACAAATTGTTGTCAAGTTAAAGTGGCTGTGTACAGTGAAGGAAATGTGTAGGCTGATAAATAAGAGTAATACAGGCAGGTCTGATCTAATTGGAGAGGTGGTGGTTTTAGAGAAAGGACAACCTGAGAAAGAGGTTTGTCAGCAGAGACTGGACCACATGAACAGGCAGCCTCCTGTAAGGAATGGGTGGGGCTCAGGGAAGTCTGGGCAGAGGAAATAGTACCAAGCTTAAAAGTCTAAACCAGTAGAAAGGCTTGAAAGGTGGTGAAAGGCTGGAGAGGAGAGCATGGGCTAAGTGACACTGGAGCCAGTGAGCAGAACTAGCATCCTCATGCTGTGCATGGGTGTGAGAGTGCTGGGGATTTACAGCCAGTGTCCATTCTGGGAGGTTGGAGGCCACGTACTTGTTATTAAGCACTGTAAATAACTCCCCTACCCTACCGCCATATTACTGTATTACTAGTCTTGTAGGATACTTTCACTGTGGTGGGGCCTTTGTTTTGGTTAAAGCAGAGAGGCAGACTGGTTGCGTGTGGTAATAAGGCGGCTGGGACTTTTCTCTGAAAATACCTGGCAGTGTTCTTTTGACACAGTCTTTCAAGAAGACAACAAAAGGATTTGTTTTAGAATGACTGAACCAGCATTGTGGAAAGAGATCCATGTGTTCCCTGGGCAGATAACTCAAGGCTTGTTAGTGACACATAGCAATCTACAGATGTAATGAGAGTGCAGATTTGTTACCTTGTACTTATGAAAATGTTGGTGAGATTCTGAAGCTGGGCGTGGTGAAGCAAATACAGACTGGATCACTTTTCTTTTTGCACTGCACAAGTCTACACAATCGCTCTTGGGAGTCCATGCTATTTTCGATCTGAGCAAGGCTTCTCTGAGCCAGGCTTGGTTGGTCTTTAAACTCCAGGAATCCATACTTTGGAGCCAGCCGTGTGCATGGTGCACTATAAATGGTTAATAAAATGTTTGCAATGAGTTAAAATTTTTCTTTGCCCTATCTACCTGCTAGAGGCTTGATCCTGCTTTACTTATTATTTATTCATGTATTGATTCATTCATTCCATAAGTGTGAGCCCGTAGTCCTGAGAACTCTGCTCTCTAATCTGTGTGTTTTCTATTTTTTTAAATCTGTCCCTAGGATGCCAGCTAGGCTGCAACAGCTGTGAGAGCTTTTCACCTTTCTTGGTAGAAGACTAACTTCATTATGGAGTCTGAGAGGCTTTTCCCTGTATCCCATCTCTTGTTGATTACACTCGCTATGCCGGGGCAATCCAAGATAATTTTGCTTCTCAAGGTCTATAGTTTGTTCACACTAACAAAATCCCCTTTTCCATATGAGGTGACATATTCACAGTTCCGACATTAGCTCGTAGACATCTACATTATTCTGCTTTCCCCAAAATCTGCTTGCTGGCCCCCAAAGATTCATGTTGGTCCCACATACAAAGTAAATTCACTGCACCCCACTATCTACTAAAGCTGTGAGCATATAACGTCAGCTCAGAGTCCCAAATCTCTAATTTCATAGGTGGGAAAATTCCACAACACAACACTCAAACTGTTTAATTCAGCTGTTGGTGAGACCAATTTTGGGAGGAAATTTTGCTCTATCTGTAGACCTGTGAAGCTAGAAGATAAGTGTCTATTTCCAGCATACAGGGGCGGGACAGTATGGAATACCTGCTGTGGAAGGAGGAAACGGAAGGAGGACAGGAGTCACTGGTCCCAAATAGCTTTGAGATCAAGCTGTGTGAACTTCATTTGGTTTCATGCTTTGGGAGCAACCCTTCGCCTTTTGTGCCTGTAACTCATTCCTTGGAGACACCACTCCGTTTTCATGAAGGACAACATGTATTTGCAGACCAGTAGTTTTGTTGTTGTTGTTTTTGAGACAGGGTTTCACTGTGTAATTTAGGCTTGCCTTGAATTCACTATGTAGCCCAGGCTGGCCTCGAACTCCTGGCAAACCTCCTGCCTCAGCTTGCTGAGTGCTGGGATTACAGGTGTGCACTACCATGCTCAGCTGCAGACAAATAGTTTTACTAGCCTGTTTCTTGCCTGCAGAGCTGGAGAATTTTGGGGGTTTGTCAGCCCTCTTTCATTTTATTCTTTCTGTTCCCTTCAGTTCAAGTTGACAGTGTTCCTCAATATTTTTCTTGAGAAAAATATTCTCAAGAATATTTTTAAAAATACATTTTGATTTTTATCAGCACATAACAATTTTATATATCTATGGGATGCACTGAGACATTTCAGTATCTGTGTGCAATGTGTAAAGATCAGATTAGGGTCATTGGCATCCCTCACCCTAGCTATTTATCACTGCTTCATTTTGGTAAATCTTCTCTGCTAGTTATTTTGAAATCTTCAACTAATCCTTGTTGACCATAGCTGTGCCACTGTGCACTGCACCCCGTCATTACATAGCCTCTCCCTGTCTCTTCCTCTCCCCCTCTTTCCCAGCACTCTGGTCTCTGTGAGGCCAGCTTTTTGGTGTCCACACATGAGTGATGATGTGATGGTGTTTGCCTTCTGCTGCTGACTTACAACACTCAGCACGATATTGTGCAGTTCTTTCCGTGATGCTACAACTTTCCAAATGTCACTCTTTTTTTTTTCTTTTTTTTTTTTTATTTAAGAGGAAAAAGAGAAAAACACAAAACAAAACAAAGCAGTGTAAGGTTACACATAATACAGAACTACAAAAAAAAACATAACAGTAAGAAATCACCTGTTAATAGATTACATATTATCATCACTCTTTTTATTGAGGTGACAGAATAGTATTCCCTTGTTGAAGAGTACACTTTATTTATCCATTGCTCTGTCTGTGGATGCCCAAGTTGATCATGTATCTTGCCTATTGTTAATAGTGGTGCAATAAACATGTGAATGCAGAAGTGTCTTGGGCCCACCAATTTCAGCAGATTTGTGTGCACACCCAGTCGTGTGGTTGCTGGTCAGTGTGATGGTTCTATTTCTAGTGCCTTTAGGGATCTCCGTGCTATTTCCTGTCTCTGCCAACAATGTCTGAACGTTTCCCATTTTGGGGATCTTTGGCAGCATTTGATGACAGCTGTTCTAATGGGGTCAGATAATAACTCATTATGGTTTTCATTTGCCTTTTCCTGCTAACTAGTGAGGCTGAGCGTTTTTTCGTGTGTGTTGGTCATTTATATATATTCTTTTAAGGAATGACTATTTAGGTTATTTACCAAATTTTTAATAGAAAAAACGTTTTGCTATTGACTTGTGTTCCTGTACGGAAATAACCTGATACCTGATGGCAAATAGTTTACAAATATTTTCTCATGCTCTAGCTTTTCTCTTCATTCTGTCACTCATTTGCTTTGTAGTGCAAAAGCCTTTTAGTATGATGCAATCCAATTTGTCAAAGTTACATGGTACTGGGGATTGAAACCAGCACTGAGCCATACCCCGCCTTACAATATTTTTATTTAGAGACAAGATCTCACTAAGTTGCTAAGTTGCCCAGGTGGGATTCGAACTTATAGTCCTCTTGCCTCAGCCTCCCAGAGTGCCAGGTCTGCAGGGATGTACTGCCATGCCCAGACTCTTGTGTGGTCTTGTCTCAAACACCCTTGTCTGTTCCTATGTCTTGAAG